GACGAGCCCCGCAGCCGCCCGCCGGCCCTGGACCCAGCGTCGGCATGGGCGAGCACCCCAGCCCGGGCCCCGCAGTGGCCGCCTGCGCCGAGGCGGAGCGCATCGAGGAGCTGGAACCCGAGGCCGAGGAGCGGCCGCCGGCTGCGCCGGAAGACGTGAGTGCCCCCTCCCCCGCCCGGGCAAACTTTCTGGGGGGCACTAAGGGGGGAGCTGCCCCCGTCTCGCCCCCGCGGGGCAACTTCGAGGTTTCAAGGTGACGCGGGAGCGCCCCGGATTGGCCGGGTCCCCGCGGGCGGGAGGGGGCGGAGGGACCGGTCTCCCCCAAACGCGCGCGCGCCACCCCCCGCTCGGGCTCCGCGGCTTCCATGCGGGACGCAGCGCCGCCGCTGCGCTGGGGACCGGTCGGCCGCGGGAGCCCCCTCCCCGCGGCTGGTGCAGTGGCCGGGACACGGCGTTTTCCCGCAGAGGCGGCCGCGTCACAGCCGTGACTACCCCTCCCCTCCCGCTCGCGACCTGCGGGCTCTCTGAGCCCGGGGAAGGAGCGGGCGCCGCAGAGTCCCCGGAACCCGGCCGCGCCGACCGCTCTGGCTACTCCCTTCTTCGCTTCCGGATAAGCTCCCTCCCGGCACCTGCCCTGTCGCCACACTGATTGAAATTCAAGCCGGCCCGGGTCCCTGAACCCGGCCGGAGGAGGGAGAGGCGGAGTGCTGGGAGCGGTGTCGCTTCCAGAAGAGAGCCCAGGAGTCCCAGACCGAGTCGATGCCAGCGACGGTCCCCCGGGCAAGGATGGGGAGGGGCTGCCCCAGAGGGCTTCCCTGCCATCTGCTGCTGGAGTCTCCTTCCCTCTGGTCTGGGGAGCCATCGGCGGAGCGGGCACTGGGGAGTCCTGGGAACTGGGATTTCTTAAGCTACTCCCTCCCGAGGTTAACCTGCATATAGAGGTGAAAAACTGGAGAGACATTCTGCCCTGCCCTAGCCCTCTCTCAGGGTAGGGAAATGGAGAAGCCAGGATCCCTAACCTACCGGGGAATGTGCCCCAGGAGAGCTTAACCTCTTCCCTCCCCTTTGGCTCCCTTGGTTAAACCTCTCACCTGCTTTTGGCTCCCAAGCCCTGTACTCACCAGGCTCGTGTACTCAGCACTTAGATTCAGCCTTGGAGAGACTGTTTAGATTTCAGTGCATTCCGGAGACCCCTCCTCCCAAACTGCAGCAACGGTTAGTGTTTATTCAGGGCTGAGTTTTCCTGAGTAGGGGGGTTCTCTGACCCCCAGCAGGTGGAGACTGTTGCAGCAGGGTGGGTTCCCAGGTGTGGGAATAGACATGGACATGAGCTTTAGGCAGAAGTTGTTAGAGGCCCTTGGATAGAGTTGGATGCCTTTATTTAGTAATTGCTGAGAATCACCCTTGTTCAGCGTATCCTTCCTCCCGCCGGACTCCAAGAGAGGGACAATCCCCCTCCCCCAACCCGAGTTCCCTGTCTTTGCTTAGGGCAGACTCATTTGGGGAGCTCCTCCCAGGTTTCCCCTGGTGTCTTGTGGCGGGTTCCTGAGTCTGGGCAGTAGCTGGGAAGCTATGTCAGAAATATCAGGGGCTAGAGAGTCCTTGGTGATAAGTGTGTTTCTTTCTCTCTCTTTTCTTCCTCCTCTTCTGCATGGCCTCCCTCTCTACCAGCACTGGAAAGTCCTGTTTGATCAGGTATGTGAGCGGTTAAATGACCCCACTTCCTTCCAGCCCTCCCCACAATCAGTCTCCCTGCTTGCGTGGGCTTCCCAAGCTCTGCACTCCTGAGACGGTGCCGTGTGGTGGGGGCGTGGCTTAGTGCATCTCCGAGACTGATCGACAGTGCTCTCCACTGCTCTCCAGGTTTCAGGAGTAGGCGGTGGGCTCGCCTGAGAGATCCTTCGCTCCCTCCTCTTCCCAACTCTGCCTTCTAAATACCATGTAGAAATTGCACAATAGGTATCAAAAGCCTGGGACATTCCCTATATGCGGGGATGGGGGGGGCGGTGATTGCAGTCGGGACTGAGGAGGTGGGGGAAGGGCTTAGATTAATATCCCCTCTCCTTTTTTACCTCCACCTTCAAAGATCCATGGCCACCACTGAAGTCAACGCTCTGCTGTCCTTGGAGAGTGACTCACAGTATGGGCTCTTTTGAAAGCTGACTCTAACTTTGCGGCAGGGATGAGAGTTATGGGAAATAGTATGTGATTGTTTGCAACTCCTAGCGTCTAGGTGTGGAGAATGGAGTTGGGAATGCCAACTTTGGAATCTCTTGATGGACATTTGATCTTCAGCAAGGAAACAGTTTCTTCGTTGCTTAGTACTGGTGTTGAGAGCTTTTGTGTATTTCCCTCTCTGTCTCCATTCCCAGATGCAGAGGAGAGGAGGCAAGGGATGTTCCAGCGCAGGGGGACTAGTGAGTGCTCTGGTCCTGCAGTAGGCATGATTGTGCCATGAAGTTTGCGCAACTTTAAGAGCCCAGTCTGGTTGGGCCAGAGGGAACCTGTTGGGTTGGATGAGGAGATGAAGCTGACAAAGTAGCTTGGACCAGACCTTATCCTGTTGTAGGCAGGGAAAGCCTTTGAAAGTTTTTTCAGCAGGGATCCAAGCAATGCTTTGGAAAGGTTCTATGTGCTAGTGGGGAGGAGGTAAGGTGGATGGCAGGCATGAGAGAAAGTAGGCAGGGACCTGCTGCAGTGAATGAACATGGAGGATGGCAAGAACGGAAAGGAAGAGGGACGTGGCAGTGGGGGAATTGGAAGATGTCACTGGACCCGCGTAGATGAGCGAAATGCATAGATAACTTTGGGATTCTGAACCTGGAAGGAAAAAGGGAAAGTCAGGGTGGGGGGGTGGGGTCTTGGCAAAAATGACAGCTCTGGTGACAGACCAGTTCAATGCGAAGAACCCACCAAATGCAGGTGCCCGAGTGGGACCGAGACCCGGAATTACAGCTGGAAAGTCGTGGTAGGCAGGGGTTGGGGGCTGCTTGCGGGCATCCCCCACATTAGAATGAGGCCTGGCTGTGGTTTGGGGAGCATCCACCGGCTCCCGGCTCCCGTCCCAGTGGGGTGGCGCATCTCTCCCTCTGCTCCCACTCGCCACCCACTCTCCCTCCAGTTCCTGGGAGCACAGCGGCCGCCCTGAGGCAGGAGGGGCCTCCTGCTGCCACCGACACCACGACCAGCAAGCTGTCAGCCCTTCACACCTCCTGCCAGATTTAGAATCAGAACCTAGAACAAAGTGTATCATTCATTCTCCCTCTGTGTCTGTCTTCCTCATTTGATTAATTTTCTGTGTATGTTTACATTTTAAAAGGAACTATTTGGGTGAATGGAGGACAACAGTAGGAAGAATTTGGAGCAGAGAGAGGAGAGCAGAGAGAATGTATAGCAACTAATACTCGAGGGTGGTCTGTGAAATCCATTTTCTCCCACAGGAGGGAGGTCCCTCGTGTCACAGGGAGCATCCCCCTGCTTCTGGGAAGGCCCACCCGGAAACAATGCTAGACAGACAAAATTAATTATAGGAAAGAAACTCGCAAAGTACTCTGGGCAAACCATTGTTTTCTCACAGTAAGTTCTGCCTTATGCCTATTCCCCGTCCATCACGTGGTGTTAGGAGCCCATTTCTGGGGGCACCTGGGGTGGGGGGCGCAATCGGTTAAGCATCTGACTCTTGGTTTTGGCTGAGGTCATGATCTTGGGGTCATGGGATCGAGCCCCACGTCTGGCTCTGCTCAGTGAGGAGTCTGCTTGTCCCTCTCCCTCTAAAATAATAAATCTTTTTTTTTTTTTTAAGAATTTATTTGTCAGAGAGAGAGAGAGAGAGCTTGCACAAGCAAGGGGAGCGGCAGGCAGAGAGAGAAGCAGGCTTCCCCCTGAGCAAGGAACCTGATGCGGGGCTGACCCCAGCCAAAGGCAGCCACTTAACTGACTGAGCCACCTAGGCGCCCCTAAAATAATAAATCTATAAAAAAAAAAAAAAAGAAGCCCATTTCTGTTACCTTCCTTCCTGTGGGTGATTTATGTTTAAGGAGAGCTGCTCCTGAGCAGGACTTGACCTCTGGCAGAGATCCAGTCCCTCTGTGTTCCTTGCCCCTACTTCATGAAGCTGCCCCTGGACCATTCCCCAGTGGCGCTAACTGGAGAATAGCTATGAAGCTTCACAAAGGGGTGTGCAGCTTCAGGATGTGAGGTTATTCAGAATTTGGAAGGGTTTTCCCCTTTGCCTTTCCTGTGGGCCTGCTTAACGGTAGGACTTGAGGATTGTGGACCTTGGTGCACTTAGGAAAGAGCATTTCACTGGAGGTTGAGGCAGCCCCACCCCCAACCACCTTATCCAGAAATGGACAGCCCTGGCCAAACTGTGGTCAGTGGGGGGTTCATGACACCTGTCAGAGTCTCTGCAAGCTGATGTGTTCACCTTCCAGAGGTTGATGGGATGAGAAGCTGGCCAAAGTTGGTCCTCCTTTCCTTTCTTGGTCAAGGGAACACCAGTGATCACCCAGTTTCGAACTGGGACCTGCTGGGACTTCTCCCCCTGGTTTTAGGGATATTTGGCATTGTACCAGTTCCCTCTGTGCTGTCTGGTTCTTTAGCACATGGAGTAGTTTTGACCCAGCATGAAGCTAATTAAACCCCAAGAACTAGAAGCCACGGCCTTGGCCTGTTGGTCCTGTGTGGTCACCCCTCAAATAATTGGTCAGGATGCCTTTTGTGGGAGTTGGAAGTGAATAAAACAGATGACCCCAGTCCCTTGGAGTCTCCCCTCCCCCATATTCTGGGAATTTGGCTGGCTTGCTCAAGCAGGAGAGTAGCATGCCAGCCCTCCCTACCCCACCCCTGACTTCTTCCCTGTGGGTCCTGGAAGTTATAGTAGGCAGGAAACCAGGAGGTCATCACTTCAACCCCTAGACGGTCCATCATATGTTTTGTTTCTTATTTCCACTTCTGCTTGAGGGAATTATCTTTTCATGTGCCTGGGATCTAAACGGTTTTCCTAAATATTAGATTTTAAAGTTACCTAAATACGAATCTGTCGTCATAGTGTAGTATTGTACAAAATGTCTTATTTTTCTGTAGTTGAATCTGTTGAGATTTTCTGTCATTCCTTCTGTTGCTTTAGACCTGAGACAGTCTTCATCCCTCTTCATTTTTTTTTTAAGTTTATTTATTAAGCAATTTCTACACCCCACATGGGGCTCAAACTCACAACCCTGAGACCAAGAGTCGCATGCTCTTCCGACTGAACCTGCCAAGCACCCCAGTCTTCATCCCTCTTTAGATCTTATAAATATGCATTTCTATTTCCTACTACGGTTTCTGTGACTAAAGAAATCATCCAGCCCTTTACTCCATCCAGACCTTGTTTCTATCCAGTTATGCCAGCACTTATTAAGAAACACTTCCTTTATTTTATTTTTTTTAAGATTTTATTTATTTGAGAGGGAGAGAAAGTGCATGAGCACAAGCAGGGGGGAAGGGCAGAGGGGCAGGGAGAGGGAGAAGCAGACTCCCCGCTGAGCAGGGAGCCCGATGCGGGGCTCGATCCCAGGACCCTGAGATCATGACGGGAGCCGAAGGCAGACGCTTAACCAACTGAGCCACCCAGGCGCCCCAAGAAACACTTCCTTTAATGTGTTTAGAAAATTTTATCACTTGGTAAATTTTTATATGTGTGGGGCCAGTTTATTCTTTGTCTCATCTATTGTGCTGATGTTTGTAATTTTGCGCAGGTAATGTGCCCTTCAGTTCTTGCTTTATGTTGTTCCATAGGCTCCTCTTTTTCAGGTCATGTTTCGGCAGTCTCAGTCCCTTCCCGAACTCTAGGGAGGTGCCAACTCTAGGGAGGTGCCATCAGGGATCCAAGGTCAAAGAGCGGGTCCATGGCAGATACTGGACCCGAATGCACTTAACCCCTAAAGGGCTTCCAGGGTGGGAAAGTCATTTCCAGGTTCACCCTTAAAATGCCTTCAAGATCTACTTCAAGATATGCAAATGTTTAATGAGCAAAAGTGTTTGGAGCAGAGTTCTGTTGAGTCAACAAAGTACAGTTGCTTTTGAGCTCAGATGAGTGAGAAGGAAAAGGAAGGATTGGAAGTAATTTGGGTTTTTTCCCCCCTTCCACTGGGAGCATGCATTTCTCAGGCCCCCATAAGAGCCCCAACTTTGCTAATCTCCCAGAAGGAGAGCAGACAAGTTGTGGCTGTCCCACCACTGAAATTATGAATGTGCTACAACCAGCACGCAGAGCAACTGAGACGACCTGCTGGGTGCAAAAGCCTGGATTTGGAGTCAGATGGACCTGGTTTCAAGCCTTATGCCTTTGTCACTGGGGCCAAGTGGCATTAGCTCTCTGAGCCTCGATTTCCTCATTTGTAAAATAAGGACAGTGATCTTGAACTCCAGGAACAATAGTAGGAATTAGATGGAAGTGGAGACTCTTTACAGTGTCTGATATCCAGTGGACATTCAACAGCTGTCTCTTAACTGGGAATCAGAATTTGCTGGAAGATGCACGGGGCTGCTTCTGAGATCCAGGCCCCCACAGGGAAAGCAGCGGCCTCTCTAAACCAGCTCCTGCCCAATCCAGGCTCCTGGAAAGAGAGCCACTTCTGAGCCTGGAGGATTTTCCTGCTGGCTTTCCCCAAGTGTCTCCCCTGCTCGGCCCCCTTCTCTCCAGCCTGGGGTTT